GCAGTCACTTGTCGAAGTGTCCCTGGGCAAGACACTGAACCCCTCATAGCCTCTGATGTGTGTCCCATCGGTGTATGAATGTGATAAAGCTCTGATTAGTCTCTTTAGAATGATTTGTTCAATTAGCTTTGTAGAGATCTAGTAGAGTGCCGTATGAATGGGTAAATGAGGCACAGATTGTAGTGGAAAGCGCTTTGAGTATCTTGAAATAAGATAGAAAGGCGCTATATAAGTACAGTCCATTTACCATTTGCTCATTTAGGAAGTTTTCTCAAATGAAAACAGAAGAATGGAGATTCAAACTGCATGGGATGCATCGTTTATGCAACTAAATGCACTTGCAGATTAATCTCACTCCTGCTATATTAGGGTCTTTGCTTGCCTGGCTCACAGAGAGATCATTTGGCCACAAGTATGAAAATGTGTTAACTAGAGTGGCAGATGAGATCAGGCAGGAATCCCCGTAGACTATGATGTTTGCAGATGACTGCGATCTGTGGAGAAAACAGGGAACAGGTGGAAGAGAACTTGGAGAGGTGGAGGTATACACTTGAAAGAAGAGGAATGAAAGTCAGCCATATTAAGACAGAGTACAAGTGTGTAAATGTGAGAGAGGCTGGTGGAGCAGTGAGGCTACAAGGAGCAGAGGTCACAAAGGTGCAGGACTTCAAGTACGCAGTTGACTGTCGAATAAAATATGAAGTGTGGTAAAAAGGTGAAGAATAGAGTGAATAGAGTGTTGGAGAAAATCTCTCTCACTAACATAGTTTACACAGATAAACCACAGATTTGATGGCAGAAGAAGATTTTTAGTCAGTATTTTGCTGGTAAGGTCAGATTTCAGGAGAGACTACATGAATGTACATATATCACATACATAGATGTATACGCATGAAAACCAGTCACAGAAAAAAGCCATGAGCTGCGTTATCTGCTTGCTTTTATACCCCTCTCAGCTCAGCCATATTCAGAGTTCAGGAAGTGTCCTTGAAGTCAGCTGCAGGCTTCTTACCCAGCACTCTGTGCTTACCCAAACATATGGTTCATGGGCAGAGATGAGAATGTTTGGGAGATAGTTCGGCTTGTTTTGGGCTTCTTGTTCTCAGAGCAGAGGAGAAAAATCTTCTCAGCCATAATAATAAAAACATCCACAACCTTTGACCAAAAATTCCCTGACATCCAGATGGTCTGTCCGTCCGTCCATCCATCCATACATCCATACATACATACAGATGGACGTATGGACAGACGCACGGACGGACAGACCGACAGACAGATACTAAACAAAAATTTAAATGTAACTTTTTTGTTTTTGCTCCCATTTCAAAAGTTTTGAGGGAGCGTACAGTTGGCATGCTGACTGCAAGAATGTCGATGTTCAGAGAGTTTGACAGTACATCCAAACAGCCTCACAACCGCAGACCATGTGTAACCACACCAGCTCCTGTGTTCATTGTCCATACACTCAACATACACCTGCACGTACCATACCCCACCATCACCATGAGCCACTTGATTCACAATGCTGACATCAGCAAACCATTCACCCACACAATGCCATACATGCTGTACAATGAAAACTGGGATTTTTCTGTGAGGAGAGCACCTCTTCAATGTGCCATACGGCATCAAATGTGAGCATTTGCCCACTCAAGTCGGTCACAACAACAAACTCTCCACTGCCAAATTCTCTGAAACGCCTTTGGAGATGGCTCATGGTAGAGAAATGATCATTCAGTTCACAGGTGACAGGATATATTCAACAGGATGGATATTTCTGCAGTCAACATGCCAACTGCATGCTCCCTCAAAACTTGCAATATCTGTGTCATTGTGCTGTGTGATAAAACTGCAGATTTTAGAGTGGTCTTTTATTGTGGTCAACCTAAAATACACCTGTGCAATAATCATACTGTTTAATCAGCATCTTGATATGGATCCATCCTGAAAAATCCCATAATTATGGGGATAGAAGTAAAATTAAAAACCATTAGTAAGAGGAATGCATTATTTTATGAAATTGATCAAAATCTGAATTTTTAATGTTTTTTTCCTATGGTCTATTTTCCCCTAAGGAACAAGATTGTAGTAAAATTACTGTGAGGTTGCGAGAGCATTTGAAAAAATTCTGACAAAAACATCCATCCATCATCTTTACCCGCTTATTCCATTTTGGGTCACGGGGGTCGCTGGTGCCCATGTCCAGCAATCACTGTGCGAGGGGCGGGGTACACCCTGGACAGGTTGCAAGTCCATCACAGGGCCACATAGAGACAAACGAGACAAACAACCATTCACTCTCTCATTCACACCTAGGGACAATTTAGAGTTACCAATCAGCCTAACATGCATGTTTTTGGTCTGTGGGAGGAAACTGGAGTACCCGGAGAAAACCCACGCATGCACGGAGAGAACATGCAAACTCCACCCAGAAAGGCCCCTGGACCGGGGTTTGAACCAAGGACCTGCTCGCTGAGAGGCAGCAGCTCTACCAGTTGCGCCACCGTGCTGCCCCTGACAAAAACAAATTAGAAAAATTTTTAGGCTTTGTCAGAAAAAGCTGTTTATTGACTGCACCAAAATAAAGAAATATACAAAAACATAACAGCTGGATCTGGACTAAGACAGCTTGCAATCATTGATGAACAATGAATTCTGAATTATATCAGAGAATTCTAAAGGAAACTGTCAGAACATCTGTCCATGAACTGAATCTAACGAGAAGGTGGGTTATGCTGCAAGACAATGACTCTAAACACACAAGTTGTACTAACAAAGAATAGTTCAAGAAGAATAAAGTTCATGTGCTGGAATGGCCAAGTCTAAGTCCTGACCTTAATCCTATCCATATGTTGTGGAAGGACCTGAAGCAGCAGTTAATGTGAGGGAACCACAAACATCTCAGTGTTGTAGCTGCTCTGTACGGAGGAACCATTGATAACTATTAAACAAATAATTTCAAAGTTGACTGGGCTATCCATTTAATGCATTATTTGCTTATCAAACTGTTGATTCATTAATATGGCATTTCTTCTGACATTCTTTAGAAAACGGTTTCTATAGCTAAAATACTGGATCAGATATTATCATCTTACAATGTGCTGGTCATAAAATTAGAATATCATGAAAAAGTTTATTTCAGTAATTCCATTCAAAAAGTGAAACTTATATCCATCCATCCATCCATTATCTTTACCCGCTTATTCCATTTTTGGGTCACGGGGGTCACCGGTGCACATGTCCAGCAATCACTGTGCGAGGGGTGGGGTACACCCTGGACGGGTCGCAAGTCCATCACAGGGCCACATAGAGACAAACGAGACAAACAACCATTCACTCTCTCACTCACACCTAGGGACAATTTAGAGTTACCAATCAGCCTAACATGCATGTTTTTGGTCTGTGGGAGGAAACCGGAGCACCTGGAGAAAACGCACGCATGCACGGAGAGAACATGCAAACTCCACCCAGAAAGGCCCCTGGACCGGGGTTTGAACCAGGGGCCTGCTCGCTGAGAGGCAGCAGCTCTACCAGTTGCGCCACCGTGCCACCCGTGAAACTTATATATTATATTCAATTCGATTCAATTCAGTTTATTTACATTGCGCCAAATCACAACAAAGTTGTCTCAGGGCACTTTACAGGAACATTCACATACATTAAAGCCAATTAGTAAAGTTCTCTATCTAAGGAGGCCAGCAGACAAGTTGAATCTAGGCTTCATTGTAGTCTCCCATCCTGAGCAAGCACAATGGCAACATTATATACATTCATTACACTGATATATTTTAAATGTTTATTTCTTTTAATGTTGAAAATTTGAATATTGTGAAAAGGTTCAATATTGATGACACCTGGTGCCCCACTCTAATCAGCTAATTAACTCCAAACACTTGCAAAGGCCTTTAAATGATCTCTCAGTTTAGTTCTGTAGATTACACGATCATGGGGAAGACTGCTGACTTGACAGTTATCCAAAAGACGACCATTGACACCTTGCACACGGAGGGCAAGACACAAAAGGTCATGGCTAAAGAGGCTGGCTGTTCACAGAGCTCTGTGTCCAAACACATTAATAGAAATGCGAAGGGAAGGAAAAGATATGGTAGAAAAACGTTTAAAAGCCAATAGGGATAACCGCACCCTGGAGAGGATGGCGAAACAAAACCCATTCCAAAATGTGGGGGAGATTCACAAAGAGTGGACTGAAGCTGGAGTCAGTGCTTCAAGAACCACCATGCACAGACATATGCAAGACATGGGTTTCAGCTGTCACATTCCTTGTGTCAAACCACTCTTGAACAAGAGACAGCATCAGAAGCGTCTTGCCTGTGCTAAAGACAAAAAGGAGTGGACTGCTGTTGAGTGGTTCAAAGTTATGTTCTCTGATGAAAGTAAATTTTGAATTTCCTTTGGAAATCAAGGTCACAGAATCCATGTTGCTTGAGGTCCAGTGTCAAGTTTCCAGCCAGTGATGGTTTGGGATGCGACGTCATCTACTGGTGTTGGTCCACTGTGTTTTCTGAGGTCCAAGGTCAATGCAGCCTCTACCAGGAAGTTTTAGAACACGTTATGCTTCCAGTTGCTGACCAACTTTATGGAGATGCAGATTTCATTTTCCAACAGGACTTGGCACCTGCACACAGTGCCAAAGCTACCAGTACCTGGTTTATGTTAAGGTTTAACAAAATGGTACTCAAATTCAGACAAGGCTGAGAGGGATGACAGACACAAAAATCGTTTAAGTGATTTTATTTACAGTGCAAGAAAGGGGGTTCGGGG